AAGAAAGAAAGAAAGAAAGAAAGAAAGAAAGAAAGAAAGAAAGAAAGAAAGAAAGAAAGAAAGAAAGAAAGACCCAAAGCATGCACAGAAGACCTATTTGTAAGCCAGCCATTCTGCTTGTTTTTCAGAAAAGGCATAGTTAGGGTTGTTTTGTATGTAAAGGAATAAGTTTTCATTTCCCTTTTCTGTTAACCTACCCAAGCATTACCAAAGCACGCTGACTGAGCCAGTCAGACAGAAAGCTTCATCTTTGCTTCTCTGAGAAAGTTAATTTGCTTCAGTGCATATCTATTCCATGGGGTTCCCTTGTTGGTTTTCATATGCTAGAGCTGCTGGTCACGTTCACTAAGTATCATCCCTACATCCAGCTTCTCCCTGGCAATTAATCATAATTTTAAAAAGGCTTCAAGTTCTGAAAAACATCTAAGCATAGCCATCTCTTAAGGCGCTGACTATTTAGCATTCACTAAATAGTACCAAAATGGGAGAAGACATGCAAATTGGTTGAGTGTCCAAGAGATTGTGGGGTAGCTTGGAAAAGAATGAAAGCTTGAGCAGACATGAAGAATCAAAAGGTAGAAGGGGAGTCCATTGGCAGCTAATCCCATAAACGGCAACTCAGCCCAGGTGGCCAGAAACCTGCAAAGAAGCATTTCATGTTATTCAAAGAGAATCTACCTGAATGAACTCATTATAAATGAGGCTGGGAAACTCTTCACATAGCTTTTCTTCACCCCAGATTAGCATGAAAAGTACCTTACTGAAATCTACACAGATCTTGTTTCTCTGAACTCGCCCAGCTGTGTGGGACTCAACACAATTTCCCTATTTCTTTAAATTGTGGGATGGCAAGACTGGATAAACTGCCATATCCAGTAATCTATCTTAATTGGGATTCTGATGACACATTGATGGCAGCAAGGGGAGATTATGTTTTTTCTCCCCTCTACTTCCTCTCTGCCAAGACTTTTTCTCCCACATTACAACTCTCCCACATGATAGATGGCACATAGCAGTGGTTAAATGCAGAATGGAGAATTAATTCTGATAATGGATAAACTCTGCTCAGATGGGAAGGAGCAAGTGCATACCCAGTCACTTTCACACACACTTTTGGTGCAGCCCACAAGCAGAAACCCTATCCCACCCTACCATTTTTAGTAATGTGTCTTTCAGCCAAATAGAAAAGGACATAGTAACCGAAGAAATTCAGAAGAGAAATGCTTAGAAAAGAGATGATTATCTGAGAACCATGCCATTGCCTTCCTTTGGTAAAAAAAGAAAAAAGAAAAGAGAATGGGAAATGGGAAATGGAAGAAAATTAAGAGAAGAGGAATGGGGAAAAACTGAGAGTATTCTTTTCAGGAAAAGGACTACCATTCACCTTAAGGAGTTCATAGTGTTGAATGCCATTCACTCCAATGTCAGGATCAATAGCAGATGGAACAGAATAGCGGGAGTTGATAGCTGTGTTCTCAGGGATGGAGATATTAATGACTGTTGATGGAAAAAGAGGAGCATTGTCATTTATATCCTCAATCAGGAATCGAATCTTGACCAGTCTGAAGACTTCATCAGGAAGAACTGCAACTTCCACCTCATAAAAACAACGGTTCTCACTAAAAATGCCAGAGCAAAGCTTTTCCCGATCAATGCGATTGGCAGTGGTGAATATTTCTCCGGTATTCTCCTCCACACGGACAAGTGGAACATCGCCAGTCTTGTACACAAGCTTGAATTGAAGAGGAGATGAAAGGGGCACATCAGGATCCAGTGTCAGATTGAGATCCTTAAGCAAATTGCCAATTAGGACATTCTCTGGTAACTCCTCCCGCACTGTATAATTCTTCTCCTGAGCACCCGACTGAAACACGATGCAGACTAGTAAGACTGCCAAGAGGTAAGTCCCAGAAAGCAAGTCCATCTCCAGAACAGCTAAGGTGTTGTCCAGCTGAACACCAAGTAGAGCTAAAAAGAGAGAGAGAAAGAGAGAGAAAGATTGTATTAAAAAATGCAATGAGAGACCACTCACCTCAAATGTTTTTTTCTCCATCATTGCAGAACAGGAACAAATAGATTCGACAACCGCTATGGAAAGAAGAAGGAAATGATGACAGTGAGAAATATAACCTTTAGGACTGCACAGCATATAAAGGTTAACAAAAAAACACCCAGTTAAACCCTGTATCTAGTTAATTCAGGCTACTGGCAAGGGAATTCTAGTCACTCATTTTTTCCCAGCAGCCACGTGTATCCAGAATCCCAGTTCACCAAGAAATTATACCATAATAGTCAACATTCATTTAAAAACTAGACCAAGGTCAAACGTTGCAGTTGCAGTTGCTACTTTCCCACCCTGTAACATTTGGATGGCTAAGAAAGGTTTCTATAGATACAATTAGAAAGTGCTGTATAGCTTTCTCATCAGGACATTGGTCAAGCTTTGATAATAGACTGAATACACCTATCATGTCTTTAGTGATTGAGGACTGAGATGAAGGATCAGTAATCCTGTCTGCATCAGAGCTTTCGCTAGGCAGATGTTTGGCCTCCTGCATCCAGTTGTAGCTTCCTCAAAGAAGGGAATCCCATTCAGAAGGTAATGCCCAGTACCCCAAAGAAGATCCATGAACAACCATAGAAAGTTATTACTCCCATCGTTCTGCTTCCACAATGAACTTATACTTTGGGACATGCAGATGACCTAGTCTCTCCTGTCTGGGGTCAGAAGCTAAGCAGGATCAGAAATAATTAATACTTTGATGGGAAACATTCATTAAATACTGTGGCTTTAGGCTAGGGAAGGAAGTTTAAAACATATCCCCCCACCCCAAAAAAAAAAAAAAAAAAAAACAGTGGCAAACCACTTCTGTATTGCTGTCAAGAAATCCACATGAATATGTTCATGAAGTCACCAGGAATCAAGCTCAGCTTGATGGAGACTTGACTTTTTTATTCAGGAAAATGACAAAATAATCTCCCCTCTTTTAATTTCCATCCAACTTTGAGGAGAGCAGTGCTGCCTGATGGTTCTTCAAAGCACAGATAGTCCTGTCTGTTTTCTCATACAAAAAAGTCGGGTTGGCAGGCTGAGTGAATCAGACTGATGCCCATCTGCCAGAATTTAGCCCAGAGCAGATGAAATGCATTTGAAAGTAATAAATGGAGCTTCCAAAAGTTGAAACAAACAGCAAGTGGTTCTATAATCATGCAAAGAATTGGCTTAGTCCCTATTTGAAAGGGACTACCTTTGTTGTCTTCTTTAGATAAGAGATCATGGCTGGTTGTGGACCTGTAACAAGTTCTCCACACCATACATTGTCCTTGCTCATTGCTTTCCAACTTAACATACCCATAATCTTTAATTGTTAGGATCACATTCCATGTGTTAAGAACTACTGCAGGACACCATGGACAATCATCCAAGCACTCAAACACCAAACACATTATTTTATCACATCTATTCCAGAGTTTTACGTATTACATCTATTCCAGAGTTTTGCTGTTATTTAAAAATAAACTCTGAGAATTAAGTTGTTTTATTTCCTACTAATTTCACTCTGGGTAGCTGACGCATGACATTCTTTCTCTTATTTGGACTCCAGTGGGAGGAAAAATGGTACATAAATTGAATGAATGAATGAATGAATGAATGAATGAATGAATGAATGAATGAATCCATTGACTGGATCTTGATGGGGATAATATAAGAATGATTACTACACTAAGGTTTCTGTTCAACATATCTACTATAAGCATGTCTAAGTCTGGATCCAATCCTATGATTTCACCAATCCAGTCCTATAACTTCATATCTCATTAAGAATTGGTAAGTTTACGTCAGTTTATATTGAAATATGAGCCAAATATACCTCATCCACATGGAAAACTAGTATGCCAAGATCAATGTTGAATCAAGGCATAGATATATCAATCTACTACTACACATTCTGATTTGACCCATGAAGCTATCTGTAGTTCAGTGGTTGTGCACAACAGTTAATCAGAAGTTCAGACCTTTTCCTTGCTTGAGACCTAAAAGCATGGGAAACACTCCATTTCTGGATCCCTGTTGCTCAAAAGTAAGATACATTTACTTATGATATTTATTAAATCATAAACTGTCAGTTAACCAAGGTGCCACCCTTAGCCTGCTTCCTTTTCAGTGAATCAAACTCAGTCCAACTTCTTTAAACAAAAATATTTCAGACAAGAGCATGGAATTAAAAAAAAAGGTTTTCCTTTCAGAAATGTCCCATGCAAGAGAAAACCCCAGCTACTTCCTAAAATATTTTTCATCTTTTTGTTTTGTTTCCTTTCCTCTTAATACATCCTCTGGTTCATCAGTGGTTTTAAAGCATCAGGTAAGACCACCACACCTCACATATAAAGCTTAAGCAGCTTGCAAATTGTGTGTGTGTTAGGATTGGCATATCCTCATATTCTAGATCAAGTTTAGTATATGTATAAGCATAACATAGATTGTCAAGTCAGGAAACATCCAGGGTGGGACTTGGTAGGATATATCTATTGTATATCTATGGCGACGTTAGATACATTCATGACTACAAAGCATTTGCAGATTGATGACCGGAGAAGATTTATGTTTACATGGGGGTACAATAAATATATACTTCCTCTGAACAAAACTACAAGATAGAATTAAACACCATAAAAATATGGTCTCTTTCTCTCCCCCTCCCCTTTGAATATTGTTCTGTGTTCATAAAGCATTTCTTTTCCTTTTTTTTTCTTTTAAAATTGGACTGCATTGTAGCTAGCCAAACAATAAAATAAAAGAAGCATTAAACAATCAGAGAACGAGGGATTACAAGATATGGCTTTGGTTCGCTCTTATTAAAATAAATGGCTAATTGCCATCTGAGCATTGGGATTACACAGCTCAATGCAGTACTCCCCTTCTGTGTATTTTTCTGTATTCAACCCACTTGCGAATCTATAAAGATAGAATAAAGGTCTGTAGACAACAAAAAGAATTTATACCAAGTTTAAGCCCACTTGCTCCCAAATCTGCATAATTTTCCACTTGAAAAATCATGCACATTTCTTCAAATGAGGTTTTTTCCTGTTCATTTTTTCCTGATTTATCATTTCTGCAAAGACCTCCCCCCGTCCCATTGTATGTGCTTTTGTATGCTTTTATTTAGATAATTATTTTTGTATGCAGCTTTGTGTACAGTTTTTCCCAATATACAAGCTACTGAATGTCAAGAAGAAAACTCGAAACAGTGGGAAGTGTCATGGTTCACAGACTGGTTCAGGAAGTGAAAATTAATTGAATGTGAACTCAACTAGCTTCTGTCCCACATTTCTTCTGCTTGTAAGTGTTGGGATGAATTTCACATAGAGAAGGAAAACAGAGCCAGTCCCTTAAAGTTTGGATAAAGACAATATGGAATATGTTATTACAAAACTTTGATTCATGAGGCTGTATATAGAAGTAGAAAAAGAAACCACTTCTGAATCCAAAGGACTTATCTTTTAACATTGTTAGATGTGGACAGAATCTATCTATGAAGCTATGACTTTATTAAATCAATATTGTACTATCTAATATCCTCTATAAAGCTCTTAGTACATCTTTCATTCCCAACACTGTGGGGGGGAACAGAAGTTTAATTCTTTCTATTTTTTTTCCTATTCTTTTCTTTTCCACACCTTCCTTATATGCTTTTCTTTTTTTAGTTTGTGTTAGTTTTTATTATTGCAATTTTTAATACAATTACTATAAAAAAAGAGAAAAAAAAGTTTAGATAAAAGTATTTTTTAAAAAAGTGTTCCAACTTTTGGAAAGGTCACTGGGACACAAAGAACATAGTATCAGACTCCAGCTATCTAATTTAAATGGTAACAGAGAAGCATATTTTTATAATATAAAAATATAATCCTAGAATTTCTCATAACGATAAGCCACAAGCATATGGTGCAGGGGGTTCGTCAAACAAGAAGAAATGCAGCATGCTAGTTTATTATATTGTCAAGTATTTGCAATGGAAAACAAGCATTCAAGAGAATTATTGAGGGTGCACTAGCTTTGATAACACCCTTCTTAGATCAGTGGCCTTATCCTGCATTTTTTCCAGTCAGTTCTCATTCATTTCATGAAAAGGAATTTCCTTCTGATCTTCTGAAAGGAGAAGAGAACATTCATGAAATTCTCATGGGCAGAACATGGCATTTTTGCATTTATTTAGTTACCTGGTGGCCCAAGGACCACGTTACCATGGACACATCTCTGCAATGACCCACAGCTTCCTGTACTTCAATTAAATCCCAAGGGCAGATATCATGAGAAATTTCCTGCAATGGGTCTTCTTAAAACAAGTATGGGCAGTGAGGAAGATCTTCAGAATGAGAAAATGATTGGCAGAAAACAGCAACACCATGGCAGAATTCTTCACTACTGCCAACAGTGAAGTAAGCTCAAAGAATCCAAGAGAAATATAAAGTAATTTCTCAAGCACTTAGAGAAAAATAGAAGTGCTTTGGGGGGAGGGGGAGAAAACTTGAGAAACTACAAGGTACAGCATTATCTTAGAAAAACCTGAGGCCCATAAAGGAAATATCTTCGTAATATTATTTTTAAATATGACTTAAATTTCCCATTGGGGAGGTAGACAGACTCAAACATAGGCTTTAAAGAACTATCTTCTTCATGAATCTGCCCTGTTTGGAAAGATTAAGCTGAGATTTATCACTGGGCAGTCTCCTTTAATCAGATCAAGTAAACTGGGATATACTTTCCAACTCAAACCTAATAATGACTCTGGGAGGAAGATCACCATATGAATTAAATAAATACCATATTTTATTGTCCCAGTTCATCTTCACCTATGCATGCATGTGCATGTATGTGTATATGTTTGTGTGTGTGTGTGTGTGTGTATTTATATACACACACACAAGTTCACCATTAAAACTCCTTGCAGCAATAGCCATTACGGCAC